GATTTTTTTCCAAATATTACCTTTGCATTTTCAAGTTTACCTAATAATTGGGTGCATATTTGGCTGTATAAGTTATCCCAGTATTAGTCGTGCGCTAATCACTAGGCGCAAATCAAACCTAACTTTTGCCGAGGCTATTTGGTTTTTTTAAGATGGAGAATTTAAAATGAAGTTTGCACAGTGCAACTCTGTATTTAAGATAATGTTCTCGGTAGGTGTTCGAGTAGATCAAGTTAGACGGTCATCAGGCACCTCCAATTTATACACGCGTGAAGCGCTTTTCATGGCCTACTAGTGCACAGTGTACTTAGTGTCTGAGATAATTTACGCAACACTTCCAACCCGCACTCTGTAATGCCGGTTATCTGAATCATGTTCGTGGTCACTGTACTCGTCCAAATTGACAAAATGGATAAAGCGACTCACGGGGTTCTCCAAGGCACTTTGATTTCATCGATTAAAGCCAATCGCGTCCCACAAATGGGGATGTCGGGTTTTTACGAGACGTGGTCACAGATCATGCTTCTGAATACTCCCTACCCTTGTATATGCATAAACAGTTAAGAAAGTGTACAGCATTCCCCGACAACTTGCATATGGTTTGAATTCACCCTGGTTGAAGAATCTTCCAGATAGAAAGCTTACCGTCCTGTTGCGTCTATTTCAAAGAAAAATACATAGGTTGCCAGCAAATATAGCTAGCGGCGTAACTTCCTCATTGTGCCCAAACGAGCCATCGTTTGACGTGGCCATTTTTCATATTTGCCAATCCCGTAACTATTCGCGTCGCTAATTATTGGGCCGTAGTCATGGACGGAAACCTATTCTGGAGGTTGCCGACGGCATCTCATCACCACTACCCCGTGTTTTTGCTCTGAGTATTTTGAGGTCGCTTTTGTTACAGGATCTTTTGATTTTTGGGATTCACCGCTACGAAGAATTGTTCAAACTTCAATTCATTGCTCTCAACAAATTTATCCCAGTTGGTAGTGATATTGGAACGAAAAAGATGTAACTAATTTGATCTCTCCTACCAGCCGTGCACCAGTATTGAACAGTCTCGTCCGACTAACTAAATAACTAACCACTTGATCTCTTTGATAACTGGTGGAAAATCTTTCTATTTTTCTTGATGCTCTGAATTTATAGTGGTCTAAATGAAGGGTAGCCCCGCCAAAATTTGGCCTCAACGTCATTTCCCTTTCGCTGTCCTTGTTGCAAGGTTGGTGCCGGAAGTTCTATGAATGGGAGTGAAATTTTTAATCCTATCGAGGATTGTTGGAATAGCATATTGAACTAACTACATAAAACTGATTATGGCACGTACAGGAGCATGCCAAACAGCCGCCTACCGTGGGTCAGCCGCCCCTGGGCTTGCACTAAATTTCAAGACCAAGTTCCATCAAGTAATGTTAACATTCAACGTCTGCTGCAATGTGTTTAGCTACTTCGACTAGCCTCACTGGTACCTCTGAACGTTAGCTTCTGAGGTGCCTATCGGTATCCGGCGAATGGAAACGATTCATTGCAACTCCACATTTAGGAGCGTTTATGTATGTTGCGTTTTGCCGCGTGTTTGGTTTGTTGAGGTGAGCTGTCTTCAAGGACACCAATCACCTCGAATTGGAGAAAAAGTGTATAACTTTAACAAGATATCGCGAATTAGAGTTAAATATGAGTCGCTTGAAGAGAGCGGAAGTTTCAGGACGTGTGTGCAACTTCAATGATTTGTGGAACATGCTGGAACCCATGTTGTTCCCGTGGACGCCAAATAGGACGCAGTATCACCCTTGTAATCAATTTTAGCCGGAATGATACTGAATCATGTGTCTTCGAACCTCAGGCATGGCGTTTCTGAATAATTGCCGCTACGGACGCGTTCATCTTTTTCTAGAAAAAATTGTGCCAAGTGTCACGAACGTTAGGCCGCAGATGATTATCACCCCTCCACGCTCGTCGAATTTTCTGGTTCATCACTTGATTTTGGCGTCCTGGTATTCAAGTGCTGCTCACTGGTAGGCCGACTTTTCACTGCGTAACACGAAACAAGGCAGGTTCTCCATTGCTGGCTCCGAGCAGTTGGAAGATAGTTTACCACCAAAGGTGTTCTTGGTGAACCGCCCATCCAGAGTCCTACGAATGCGTCCAAACCTAAGTTAGTGAGGCCGCCGTTGCTTGCACAGTGTTAAAATGCGGACCCAGCCGAGACACACGGCTAACATGTGGCTAGGCTGTATGATTCCTAATCAACTAGTTACATGAAAACTACGTTGATCAAAGCGGACAGCTGAATGAATCTAGCTGAACTACACGACTGACGTGCGGATGGATGGCCACGATGCCTTAACAGCTAGCCTACTGTACGCACACCCGTGCTCACGCGGCCCCACTTTTGGCCAATTTCGTAAAAGTTAGGCACCCTTGCCATAGCAGCGCCTAACGGCGAGCAGTAAGCCGCTATCTATGTGTAATTTCGCCTAACACCTGGACAGAGAAAGTTCAGTAGAAGGGACCAGGTTTGAATTACGGATCTATCTGTCATAAGAATGAGCCATCTCGCCCACCGGATTGTTATTACTTTTATGTTCTGTTTCATTTGGATTCCATGTCTCGGGGCGATTCGGGATCGAGTCTTTCGTCCAGGTTTCCCGGGCCGGATTTTTCCTGTCGTTTAACGGCTGTCGTTTACCGGAAGGGAACAGGCGAAATAATGTGAAGCACTGACCACTAAGTTCCCAGCGCGGGATGGCAAGCATGCCAGCGCGTGCACTTGCATAAAAAGTGTCTAATATTGCTTTGAAATGGATACTGCAAGAAATTCCTCTGCCCGCGTCTGAGACCTCGGGGACCAAAATTCGCCCGGAGTGCCCGTGAATGGACGATTTGCTCACTTTGGTTCAGATCCCTCAAAACTGCAAAACAATCTAAATGGTCTAAATATTTTTTTCATGGTTTGGCATGGACTTATAACCCCATCATACTCAGCATTCAAAACTGATGCTTCACTGCGCTGAAACCACGATTTATTCGATTGCCTTATCGTCAAGAAAAGAACAACAGCCGGTAGGAAATGGACTTATCGATTGTCTGACACAATAATTCCGAGGTGTCTCCACCTTCTAGCACTCACTCAGGCTATCTGGATGGAAACTGACTATACGAATTCCATTGAGATTGAATGACAGTCATAGCCTCTAAGGTCTCCTAGCAAGCGCAATGGAGATCACGCGGTCCCCATCGAGAAAGGCGGCTCACGCCAACAGTATCCGAATTTCCCGTAATATCCTCCATACCCCTCTGCCAGGTCAACTGTTGGCCATCTCTGCTTCTGCCACCCAAATCGAGCACACATAACGGCACTCTCATCGGAAAACGATGATTATTCCTGCGCGACACATGGCCCAACCAACTCAGATTCTGGTGCTGAACACATTCTTCGATGGAGGTCTCCGGTGAACAACCGAAGGCTTGCTTTCTAATCGCCTGGTTATGGATTCTTCGCCATCAACCCACATGAGTCCTGGTTCCGAGACAAGGAGAGTCGGACAAATGAAGATTTCAGCTGATTGAACAGCCCGATTCTTAGCCACACAACGGAATAGCCCGTTCTGTAGCATGATACATCATTTCGTTTAGATCCAGAGATATATCGCTTTGCCAACATAGGTGTCTCAAATTGGCAAATACGACCCGGGTGTTGCATTGGCCTTCCGCCTAGGCACTGGAAGGGTGCTGTAGTGTGTCATGAGCATGACTCTTGAGGCTGAGTAGGTCAGTCATCGGCCCCGGGCTGTCTTCCCCATTGAAACCTAATTACCCCGTCCTTACTGTCAAACGCTTGAGTCAGAGACTTGTGGCAGGGCTTCCGAACGAAGTTCATGACCCTCTCAGACTTGTAGATCGGACTTTTTAGTAAAAATAGGAAGGCGAATCACCACATTTAAACCGCCTCCGTCCTGAAACTGGCACCGTTTGTCTTTGCAGTACTATCTTCACCAGTATTTTTGTCTAGTCTCTACCCTAGGAAAAAATGAACGTGGCTGGATCGTTTGATTTCCAGTTGTATGGTCAAGGCGTTGCTGTTCGTTGGCAGTAGGCACTAAGTCATTTATACATAGCAGGGGCGAGATGGCACAATAGTTAGAGTGCGAATTTACCGAATGTCATATCAGTGTTTTGAACACGACTTCTGTCCCCGGACTTCCCGCTTATATGCTTGGGAAACTTGGCAGTATCAAAGCCATCGTGCATCCTTCGGGTCGCAGGGTAGCTAGGCACCGAATGGGTGCTACAGCTGAACGAATTTCGCTTAGAAGCTGCTAACATCCGCACTCTCTGTCTAATTGGTAGACAAGCGATGCCCACCCAGACGTTATACTTCCCCAAAGTTATTGTGCGTTTTCTCAAGAGCGCATACATGTCCCTTGAAGTGATCAGGACTAACCCATAGTTTACTGCCCGTGTGCCTGGTGATCCAGAATGACCTTGGTGTTTCGTGAAATATATGGCCATGAGGTTACACTCGGCTCCAGGTCTGACCGCGTTTTTCTGGATTGGATATCAGTAGGCAGCGGTTTTTGCGCCGTCCGGTTATCCAGATCTGTCAGTTTCAGTGCTAATCGACATAAATGCTGGCACCTGTTTGAAGTGTCGCTTCGTGTCTCGAAATACCGTTCTGGCTCTGAGGACAGTCTATCAAGATTTATTCGAACCAGCCAAGCAGGAAGTACCGACATTGTCATCCTTACCGGTGATATGAAGGTCCAGGATAATCGTCTGAACCATTTAGGACAAAATCCTGTTGGCCGGTTTGAAATCGATGCAAATGTGCGCGGATTGTCTCAGCACGAGTTTTAAGCACAGTCGCTTACATCCTATAACATGTTAACAACCAAGTTTAAATCAGCCGTGGACTCAAGTGGATTGAGGAATCATAAGTTACCGATGATGATCCACTATTGAGTGCTGTTGCTCCTGAGGAGGACAGCAAATTCAAATCACGCCGTAGTGTGAGCGAGATCCTTGTAAGTGAAAGATTTATATCAATCTGTCATCTTCAGAGAACTGCGAGCATAGCAAATTGTAAAATTAGCTCCAATGATGGCTCCTCGGCTTCCCCGATAGGATCAAGTGAACGCTGGAGGCCGTCTATTCCGTCAAACCCGCTGAGTACCAGAGTGAAGCGGCGCACCAAATATCTCAAACATCCAAATATGGAGAGTTTAGGAAAAGATCAAGAGTTCTGGCATACAATGAAAGCACAGGAGACGGGTTGGCCTGTCGCCACAGGAAACAGCCTGATTCGGTCTCTGGTCAGAGAAAGGTAACTGTTGGTGTAACGGTAAGTGAAGTAGATGGATAATCCATCTGCCTGAAAAAACGCCGTTTGTGAAAATGGGCTGAATTTTTCGATGTATAGTTTTGGCTGTCCTCCACCAACAGTCTGAGGTCAGCGCATATGGGCGGATGGATTGTAAAACCCAGTTATTTGTCAGAAAAAACGGATGGTTGCCTTTGTCAGGCAATTTGCATCCAGCTTTCAGTGGCATTGAATACCGTGCACGCATCCAAGCTATGGGCAGTATAAGGCTTCTTCCATTTACATCCTCAATCGAAATCTCGCTATCGCCGCTGAATTCACGCCTCTAATAGGTCTATCCATCCCATTTTATCCGGACGGACGGTGAACAAGACCGTGACGGCTATAAGCACGTTCCCATGTGTGCACGGTTTTCACATTCATGAAGACATTGGACTTCACCATGATGTGACGGTTTGCGCACCTCAGTGACCCACTGAGCTATACTGGGGGGTTTCCCGCGACATTCATTGTCTGTCATACCAGAATGGTAAATAGCTAGAGATCTGACAAACACACTCCTGATCATCCACGTTGAGCTCGGAACACGTGGCGACTTGTTCCATAGAAATGGTAATTCCTTTGCGTTTCTCGCCAAACACTGCTGCCTTGAGGTTAGGCTTATAAGCCAAAGGCTTTGGTTGGTGACCCTAATCATCCTCCTATCTAGATGTGGGCGCCCTGACACTCTCCCAGCCCGCGTACAATCATGAACTGCACATATACAAATAAACTCATGCCACATCACCCGTCGCGTGGTGCCATCAGCCGAGTCGCCTTACCCCCTGCATACCGCAGGACGGGTAGGCTACTGATGACGCCTTCCTTCTCTCGCTTTCACATAGTTTTTCTTCCCCTCTTTCCCAGCCCCAACAATAACTCTCCTCTTGTGGGCCCAGCGCTTAGGACTGGTGATTCCGTTCGTCTTGCATCGGCTTTGCGTACAGCATCTGGTCGTCACATGGCACCGACATCATCAAGTACCCCCTAATCAACCTTCAAACCTCGACATCCACTCTATCTGGCCGCATTCAATGTGCGCACTCTGAAGCAAACAGGACAACAAGCCGCTCTTCTTGTCGCATTGAACTTGGAATTCATGTGCGCTGTGTCTCCGGAACGAGAGTTCAAGATGCAAGTAGATGGATTAAGTTAACAGCTTCGTCAGTTCCCACTCGCTTTCATGTGCGTGTGTCTCCGGAACGAGAAGTTCAAGAGCAAGTAGATGGATTAAGTTAACAGCTTCGTCAGTTCCCACTCGCTTCCGCTTGCACATTCCCGTGATCCAGAGGATGCTGCGGAAGCCAAGAGGAGGACAACACTTTACCTGGCAGTTGTCGGTGCTGTCGGTGCTACTCACCTTCCAGGATGGAGACCGCGTGATGCTCATTTTGCTTGGTTGATGACGCTGCAAGATATGGCTGCCAACTGATGCCAGTGGCGTTCTCAATGTCTGTTTCTATCCAGACTGCCTGAATAAGAGTTTGAGGGTGAATGCACCTCAGTATAATTGTAGTAAGCTTGCACTAAGTCACTTCCCCTTCCATCTTTATTTGTATCTTCACAATAAGGCTTTCAAAATAAACTGTGTTGGTCGTACGGAAGCAAACGAGGTGTTGTGAACACTGACGTCATGCTGTGGATGGCCTCGATGATGAGGCTGCGGCTCCGGCGCCGTCAAGGACAGGTTTTATGATGCCCTGAGTGCTCTCCAACGGCAAGCCAAAACATGATGCGAAGACTTATTAGTCTTCAATTGCCGAACGCAAAGTGTGGTGGGCACAGAGAGCCAAGGAAATGAAAGGGGGTCAGAGAGCCGGTAACGCCTGAGGATTATTATAGTTGATATGTGCGAACGGTCCCCGGAAACCACCTGTGAGCGAAATCGTCAAGGACCATATTGGGGTGAAAATCTCGAATAAAGAAGAACGCCTCGACCGATGGACCGAATACTTCAAACAACAATTGTCATGGCCACCAGCTGACGGCCGTCTGGAGCCCACAGGTGACAGAACCGTGGACGGTAAACGTGAAACCATCCATGACCTCGGAGGTTTTTGGCTGTATATGTTTTCTTCAGCACCACCGAGCCTCTGGTCCGGTTCGCCTCCCACACCCATTGTTCAAGGACATGGGTGAAGTACCCAGTCGACATTTGTCTGATCTCTTTGCTTGCATCTGTGAAAAGGAAAGTGTCCGACGCAACTGAGTGTAGTCGGTGATACTGCCCATTTTCAGAAAAATGGCTCGTAGTTAGTGTAGCAACCACAGAGTATACGCTTCACCCTGGGTGTAACGAGACTGTTGGCGTCACTGATGATTCGCCGACTCGTGGTGGCTCGTGACACACCGACCCGAGAGCAGTAAGGCGAGATTCCGGCCCGGTAGTGGTGTGTTGGCCAAATATTCATACTGTCAGTTGTTGGGACAACGCCATACGTATAAGCGACCCACATTTCTAGTGTTCCTGACTTGGTTGACCGGTGTGCTCTGTTTGACACTTTCCCACCAAAGAATGCTCCCGAAGTTCGTGGAAATAATAAGCACTCTGTATTCCCAGACTTCCGAGCGTGAACGATAGCACGGCGAGCTCTCCAAAATCTTCCGTACACGGAGTGGTGTCTATCAGCGATGCTCACTCTCTCCATTTCTGTTTGACCTCGTGATCGATGAAATCATGAGACGAACGCTGGAAGGCCTCCAAACCCGTCAACGGAAACCTTGCCAATCTGGAATATGTACATGACATCCTTCTCATCTTTGAAGAGGAGGAGAAGGCGCACGTGTTTTTGCATGAACTGACGAAATTCATCCCGTCTTTTGTTATGCAATTTGCACCCACAAATGTGAGGTCATGCTCGTGGGCGTGCAGTCACTGAACACGCCACTCACAATCCAGAGGGAGGCACTTGAAGTTGTGGAGCATTTTACGTATCATTAAAAGTATCTTGGGCCGTAACTGGTATAGTCTGGTTGGGGAGAATCCGTTAAGAAACAATTAGAAGGCGGGTTTTTAGTTCTGCAAATGGAACATCCATTGAAGAATGGGTCCGGTAACAGAAGCTACGTTGGTTGGGGCATGTGTTGCGTATAGTAAATCATAGCGTGCCGAAGAGAGTGCTGATTTCCATGCCCAATTAAGCGTGACGGAAGCAGAGGGGTGGTACAAACTTGAATTGGCTGAGGGGTGTGGGCGGGCTTTTCTGAAGGGTTGTACAATTCTGTACCGGTCCCTTGGTGCGTCGGATCACGCCATTTTACGGATGATCCGACGCACTTTCTCCCGTATTACTCGCATGGACTTCCAAATACTCTACGGGGCCTACGTTAGACCGCCCCTGGAGTACGCTAACCAAGTTGTCTACTCAGGATGCACGAAAGACGTCACCCTCATTGAGCCTGTCCAGCGGGTCGCTACGAGAATGGTTGCTGGCCTCAAATCCGTGGACTACGAAACGTGTCTCGCGATGCTTGATCTCTTTCCCCTGGAGTACCGTCGCCTCTGAGGGGACCTAATTCTTACCAACGCCCTGCTTGAACAAAGCTTGGCAAACAGGTTTTTCACCGTTGACCCAGCAAACACCCGGCGGGGACATAGTAAGAAAATCTTCAAGCTCAGGGCACACACATCCGTTAGACAAAACTTTTTTTCATTTCGGGTAGTAGCTGCGTGGAATGACCTTCCTCCGACGGTTGTACACGCTCCTTCTCGAACCCAATTTAAAGCACTATTAGACATTTATTTATGCGAATCCTCGCGCTGGCGAGCATACTGCCCCGCGCTGAGAACATAAAGAGCAGTGCTACACCCTTTTTTCACTTGTGCCTTTCAGGTGAACGACAGCCACTGACCGACAAGAACAAAACCGACCCGGGAATCTTGGGCGAAAGCCTCGATCCTGTGTATCAATCCGTGATTCCTGCTCCGCCCATTGTGGTATATCAAAAGGCACGGCAGCTTCGGACAGCTCTTCATGGAAACAGGGGGAATTATTACAACCGTACTTATAGGGCAATGACAGAATGTCCCACAAGGTCGTGATGGAATCTCCGTGAGGGGGAGATAAGTGTCGAATCAAAGGTGCTCGATCCCGATTGGTTGGTATTTCGACCAATCAGGGCATGCATTCGTTTGGTTCGTAACGTGCACGTGATTCCACATAATGTGATGCTCGGTTATTAGGGACAGCTTGTCTCCGGATAGGTATGAAGAATATTACGAAACGCTTGGGTGCTGTCGGTACTACTCGCCTTCCATGATGGGGATTGCGTGATCCGCACTGCGCCTGGTTGGAGACACAATAAGATGGCTGTCAACTGAAATCAGTGGCGTCCTTGTTGTCACTTTCTACCGAGATTCCTTGAGTGAATGTCTGGAGGTGTAGGCACCTCGGAATGATTGTAGAAGGCTAGCACTGAGTCCCTTCCCCTACCACAACAAGGCTTCCAACTAAATCGTGGTTGTAGGGCAGTGATCACTGCCCGATGCTTCGAAGCATCTGTTTCGAACACTGATTTCGTGTTGTCGATGATGATGGTGATGCCACAGTTTACAGTTGATGGTGTTGGTTGTGTTGCATGCAGTTTGAAGTCATCGGATGACCCATACACTCATTCGGTGTTCCCGGTGCTTACCGAATCCAACCCACTTAGCCCATTCCGTTCATTTGATTCCCATCCTGGTAAATCGTACGCAACTTTACATTCCACTTTTGGACTCGCGGTAGCTCAATTGGCATGACGCCAGCTCGCGGATTGGAAGGTCCTTGGTTCGAATCTAGCCTCAGCACCCCAACTGCCCCTGTCTAGGCTTGGGCAACTTGACGTTATCGTGGCCCTCGTGCCCCCTTCGGTTAAAATGGCAGCTAGGCACTGAAGGGGTGCTACAGCTGAATGATTCACACCCATATCTCGGGCAACCACAGTGATGAGTGAATATTACAAGAAGGTACTCGGGGGATCCTGAGAAACTGTTTCTGACGCTGTAAGCGGGCGATAAACATGCAGTGATTTTGTATCCTTTTCTGAATTCCTTCAAATACGGTCAAGGGAGTGAGCGTCCAGCTAAGATCCCTCCGCCAGGTGACTTGGGGCTATGTGGACTTCTTTACAGATGGACTGTGGTATTCTGCCCATTGCGGACCTCCCCCACTCCTCCAAGTTTTCAAAGGCTAGTGGAGATGTTTCAAGCAGTACATCAATATCAGTATAGGGAATGAACAGTGGAAGTAGTCAACCTTGCTTCACTGGACATGACAAACTTAACTTATCGTTTCCGTATGTCTTTGTGATAGGTAACATGGAAGTGGCATTTTTGATCGCTGGCGGGATTTCGGATTGATGGCATTCCGGTGTTCAGTTGTCCCAATTCCTTTGTGTTATGGTTCTATCAAGGTTCAAGTGAATGGCACACAGCATCCGAGACAGGTGTCTCGTAGTGCTTGCCTTCTTTTTTCTGATGGGATTCTATTGGACTGGATTCTGGAGGTTGTATTGATGAAGGCCGGTTGAATTGTTCTTTGCTCAAAATGATTTCTGCGAATGTTCTGTTACCCCGTCTATTTCTGTATACTGCTTCGCTAACATACTGTGGTGACCAGGCCATCCTCCGTTCATGCTGAATCCTCGTCTACCGTGAGCGGACTGTGAAGTCCCAGAGTGGTATGTTGAATTTTGGATGCTTTTGATGTAGGATGCTCCCAATGATGGAGACAGCGCAAGTGGTGACGATGCACCGATATCACTGTCTCTTCATTTTGACGGAGCGAGTGCTTGGGATGCGAATAGCACCAAATGGCCTTTCGGGTCTGTTGCTTTCGACCCAAGGATGGCTAACTAAGCCTCCTGTCTTTGTCTAACAGCGAAGCACCGCTGTGATCGCTGCTGATAACTTTTAGACACTGTCCGCTGCAGGGATTGAGAAACAGACATTTTGTGGTCATATGTTATTGGCTATGGTGAACAGATACTTATTTAACTGTGTTGCTCCTGCCTTTAGATTGGATCACGGCGCCTGCTTTGCATATGATCCGGCATTTTCAGGCTTCGCCATTTGGATAAAATCACCGAATTTCAAAAGGCAATTCCTTATCTTCTGCTGCAGCTTAGGTCACAGGGTTGGTTGTTTACTCCTGGTGTCTTTCAATCTGGATTCAACAGGTAAGCCACAGGCGCGTTTCTCAGCATGCCTTTTTCACCCGCGTGTATCTCTTTGTTGCATCATTTGCGTTGTTTTGAGAGCACAATAGCCACATCACGGTTTGTCTACTCGTTTATTGGGAGAGAGAACTACTGTGACGTAGTCACCTGGTCGAATAGGTTGGCCCTGAGCCTCGTTGGCGACACCAACAGTCATGTCGTGTTGGGGGGAGACCACCGGTGCTACCTGTGTGCAAGCTATGGTAAGGTTTTTCTAACGAAATTGACCAGTTTGTCATCAATCCAATTAGCACCAAGTGTCATTACAGCTTCAGAATCTGTTTCATTCTTCAGATATGTGAAGTCATGGTATTCGTCGTATAAGCGCGCTTCGATTTTACTGGTTCCAAGACCGTAATATGCATGGTGATGTTTAGAAGCATGCTTTCCCACCAACGCTTTCATTCTGTATCTACAGTGAATAGCTTAGTTGATGATTGAAAATTATAGTCATCAGTTATAGTTGTGGTTTTATGAGCTATTATTTTGTTTCAAACTGGGGTGAACTTCAGACTTGTTTACAGTTGTATTCATTGTTTTTGGAGTGTTTCTGCATTTCTTCCAGTCACATCCATCTCGCATATGGACATCTTAGTCAGGATACAGTGGCCTCACGCAGTAAACTCATTCCTACCTCGAAGGACACCTAACTCTGATTCTATGAGGTGGTTTGCTAGGGAACATTTCGGAACTTCCAACAAAGACTATCCTAGCTGTCTCCAAAATGCAATTTCCACTGCAACAAAGGCCATTATGTGTATTTCTTACTTGGATCCCTATATCATGCAGCCCATCGCAGGTCGCACCAGTTTCTCCCAGCGATCTGAACGGTAAATACCATAGAGATTTTTCAAAAATAGAGAGACTGCATAACATCGTCCCAAGAAAGACGTCATTTAGTGCGCGAAAAGAGGCCTCGGAGAGTTTAATTACTTTGCTTTAAAAAAGCAGCTTTGCAGAGAAGCTAACTTTGCTGCACCTTGTCACCTGGAACTTTTACGGCAGTGAAGCATCACATCAGTACACTGATGTCATGATGTCGATGATGATGATGATGGCGCCTGGGATTTGTTCTGTCGGGAAGCGCTTTTTAGGAACTAGTCTCCCTTCAAAATGCAGATTTACATTAGTGCTTTCTCGATAGACCACCTTTAGCTTCTGAATATCAGATGTAATACATGGTCTTGTTTGATGGTAATACGATTTACATCACTGTCACCACAAGTCGGACATTCTACATGATTGCAGCAGATTAACAGCTCTAAACAACTCAACTCACCAATGGTTAATGGCACTGACAGAAATGGCCCAGTTGCGCTGTCAGCGGCGCTCGTGCATCTTCGATGTGTAGTTACCCAGCCATCGCCTCCAATGCCTGGCTGTTTAGACCACACTCCCCTTTCTGGCGATTGAAACTGTAGCATCTATAACCATTGTGCCTATGGTACACGGTTTATAACTGATAAATTGAGTTGATTGATTGATCGCAGTATTCCCGTACAAGGCTCAATATGTCCTTGTATTATTATCCGAAAAACTTGGAATATGTGCACTAGCGTTTGCTAGTATGACCAATATGGGGTGAGGAATCCGAGGTGATGTGGCGTACTATACGGAGCTGGGTTTTGTTGTGATTCGGACTCAAAGACCCGAAGCTAGAAAGAATATCAGTAGAGGAATCCTAACTTTGGTCATTGGGTATTGGAGACGTCAGAAGTGACAGACCTCCATGCTGTGACAAACATCAGAGGCAGAAGTAGGAACTACGGTCTTTTTGATCGTTAATAGCAAACTGTAAGAATTCAGAGGGCTGGGGATGAGTAGTTCCCCGTCTGAAGAGCACAATGGTTGGCTCTGAGTACTAGGATGACGGTGTTCTCCTTCACCGACGTTTTGTAACGAAAGGCAAATTAGGGTATAAGCGCTTAAGGCTGGATCGTTAATACTTTACCCCCGTCAAGTTTAAATACTCTTTTCAGAGGTCCCAGCACTAGGACTCACCATTTTTTTCACCGTCCGTCACAGTCAGCTGAGGCTTTTGCACGTCCGACTTCAGTGGCAATTCAAAACGCGTCGAAATGTTTTCCAACTCCCGAAAGCCGGTCTACTTAGCTGCCTTTAATGTTGGCGTAATAAAGCAAACAGGTCAACAGGTACACTGAATTCCTTGTGCATCGAAGTATGCTGTCTGTCAGAAACAAGGATACGGGATGCGAGTGCTGTAATTGAACTGTTTGCTCTCCCGCTGTCCTCCACGCTCCGGTCGCGCACCTCTGGTGACTCAGATGCCGCTACAGGTGGACGTGCTGGGGTGGGTATTGTATTGAACGACCAAGTGGGAGCGTCTCTGCTTGATTGAATCCCCTCTGTGTGATTCGTTCAGCAACATTTGTGAAGGAATCTTTCTTATTTTGTTGCCTCAACGGACTGTAGCTCTGAATCTGATATTGACAGTTTCCGCGACGCCCGAGGGCTCTTTTACAAAGGGTTAAAGACTGAGACATCGTTGGTGGTGACATGAAAGGCCGGGTAGACAGACTAAGCACTGCTGAAGCCCATTTGGGTGTTCGTCTTGGCTTGGATACGAGAAGCACGGACAGGGGAAATCGTCCACTTCAGATGTGTACTGACCACTGACTGCTTCTTCGCAGTACCAATTTCCGGAACAGTGAAAAACGTTTGACGACGTGGTGCCCAACAACGAACCATTTTCGACTCCAAATAGACTACATTGTCGTCAGCTACTGGCGGCGAGGGTTGACCACTGCCTGCCGCTTCTGGAATACCAGCGTGGGCTTCGAGCATGCATTCGAGCGCTGTTGCCCTTTATTGCGCTTTTCAGGGCTACACAATGCGCACACCTGACAGCCTTTGGGAAGCTAGTGGACCAAGAAATCAAATGAAACTTTCAGAGCCGACTCCTCGAACGCCTGCCGGGTCGCCTAATGTGGGATTTCAACGGCTACTGAGACATATTCACAGTGCTACTCAGATCTACGAATTCCGTTTGCGGTACAACCCAGCCAACCTCATTCAAACATTGTATCTATGTGACTTTGCTGGAGGCCCGCAAGCACAACTCGACCTGACGTATCGTCCGGCGCCAGGTAAAACAGAGTATCTGTGCAGACCGCAAAAACCGGTGGACCCGAGAGCCTGAAGAAATGGAAGCGGCAAAAAGTGTTGACAATTTCCGCAGGTTGTTCCAATTCGTTCGTTCGGCTGGTCCTCGGAAACCTGTTGTCAGCAAAACTATCACTTTTATTATAATCACCACCATGATCATGGACAGCATAACATCGATCAGCAGCCATATCTTGCAGCGTCTTCAACCGGGGGCTGTGGGTTTCACGTGGTCCTCATCCTTGAAGGTGAATGGCGCCGACAGCACCCCTGTACCAGGTCAAGGGTTGGCCACCTCTCTGATTCTGTCATTCTGAGTTGGGCATGGAAAACATCACCCTCTTCGGCGAACGACAGTTCAGCATGTACAGCACATGCCCTAACAAACTCAGCTTCTGGTGCCGTATACATTCTCCAGTGGAAGTTCCTGTTGCACAACTAAAAACCCGCCTTCTGTTTGTTTCGTTACGGATTCTCCGACACCAAACCACACCGGCTACGGTCCTGGGACAACAATTGTCGAACACCTGAAGACGCCTCGGTTCCTCTGCTCGAAACTTCACGGCCACACAACAAAGCAACCCTTACTGTAGCTTGATACGCATGTCCCTTGGAATTCAGGAATATACTGCTTTGGTTTTCTATAGAGGAAAATGTTGTTGCCCAGCTCAGCGAACAAGCCAACGACCACCATCCACGATACCTGAGCTACCAACATTTTCCTCTATAGAAAACCAAAGCAGTATATTCCTGAATTCCAAGGGACATGCGTATCAAGCTACAGTAAGGGTTGCTTTGTTGTGTGGCCGTGAAGTTTCGAGCAGAGGAACCGAGGCGTCTTCAGGTGTTCGACAATTGTTGTCCCAGGACCGTAGCCGGTGTGGTTTGGTGTCGGAGAATCCGTAACGAAACAAACAGAAGGCGGGTTTTTAGTTGTGCAACAGGAACTTCCACTGGAGAATGTATACGGCACCAGAAGCTGAGTTTGTTAGGGCATGTGCTGTACATGCTGAACTGTCGTTCGCCGAAGAGGGTGATGTTTTCCATGCCCAACTCAGAATGACAGAATCAGAGAGGTGGCCAACCCTTGACCTGGTACAGGGGTGCTGTCGGCGCCATTCACCTTCAAGGATGAGGACCACGTGAAACCCACAGCCCCCGGTTGAAGACGCTGCAAGATATGGCTGCTGATCGATGTTATGCTGTCCATGATCATGGTGGTGATTATAATAAAAGTGATAGTTTTGCTGACAACAGGTTTCCGAGGACCAGCCGAACGAACGAATTGGAACAACCTGCGGAAATTGTCAACACTTTTTGCCGCTTCCATTTCTTCAGGCTCTCGGGTCCACCGGTTTTTGCGGTCTGCACAGATACTCTGTTTTACCTGGCGCCGGACGATACGTCAGGTCGAGTTGTGCTTGCGGGCCTCCAGCAAAGTCACATAGATACAATGTTTGAATGAGGTTGGCTGGGTTGTACCGCAAACGGAATTCGTAGATCTGAGTAGCACTGTGAATATGTCTCAGTAGCCGTTGAAATCCCACATTAGGCGACCCGGCAGGCGTTCGAGGAGTCGGCTCTGAAAGTTTCNTCAATGGAAGTACCCGTTACACAACCGAAAACACCCCTTCTAACTGCTTCGTTACGGATTCGCCGACACCAACCCACACGAGCTATGGTTCTGAGACAACGATTGTCGAACACCTGAAGACGTCTCAGGTCCGCTGCTCGAATAGGCCAAGTCTCACAGCCCGTACTGTAGCTTGATACACACGTCCCTTCCGATTCAGGGATAAACCATTCTGACGCCATAGGTGTCTCAAGTTAGCAAACGCGGCCCGAGCCTTGCAGATTCATGCATTCACCTCATCTGCCACACTACAATCAGAACTAATACAACTTCCAAGATACGTAAAACGCTCCACAACTTCAAGTGCCTCTCCCTGAATTGTAAGTGGCGTGTTCAGTGACTGCACGTCCACAAGCATGACCTTACGCTTTGTGGGTGCAAAGTGTATACCAAAGGACGGGATAAATTTGGTCAGTTCATCCAGGAATACTTCCGACTTCTCCGCCTCTTCGAACGTGAGAACGATGTCGTCTGCATATTCCAGATCGACAAGGTTTTCGTCACAGGCTATTTGAACACCAGGGTTTTGGAGACCCTCCAGCGTTCGTCTCATTTCATCGATCACGAAGTTAAAAAGGAATGGAGAGAGTGGGCATACCTGACGGACACCGCTTTGTGTACGGAAGCTTTTGGAGAGCTCTTCGTATACTCTCACAAATCGGGAGTTCTGAGAATATAAAGAACGTATTATGTCCACAAACTTCCGGGGCATTCCTTGGTGGGCAAGCGTGTCAGGAAGAACAGACGGGTCAGCCGAATCGAATGTTCCTTGGAAATGCAGGAATACTTAAGTTGTGAGTCGTTTGTACGTATGGTGTTGTTTTAGCCCCGGAGTGTAAAAACTTAATGAACGCAACACCTATTATGCCGGAACTATCGAAACTATCGGACTAGAATGGCTCTCCGATATCCAGCAGAGAACGTTTGGTACAATACTTCGAACAACTATCCAGTTGACCATCTGCTACCTCCAGTCAATGAATCTCAAGGGTCGTGTGTACCAAGCTAGGGTAAGGGCTGTTTTGTTGTATGGGTGCGAGACATGGTCTCTGTGAACAGGTGACGTGAGGCGTCTTCGGGTTTTTGACTGTCGACGCCTCGGGTGCCTTTCCCGGTGACTGATCGGTTTGCTGTTGGCCCGTTCGCCGGATTTTGCAATTAACTTACACATGCATCGTCACCAATCCAGTAGACACCATCGGTGTGCGCGCTGATGATGGCTAGTGAGACATCAGTCCTAAATCGAGTACATCGTATTGCACACCGCTTGTAGTATCAGTATCACGTTGAGTTGGTTGTGAATAGAAACTTTCAGTTCGGGACATTTTGTCCCTGTCCACAGATTGAGAGCATCTATAACTTACAAACTAGATTAGTGGTTTTAGAGAATAGTGGAACAAATCAAAGCCATGCAACTAATAAAGATGATTCCTTACCAAATATACATTCATTTGCAAATTAATTTGGTTTTTCGAGAGATTCATCTGGAACCCAGCTGACTCTCTCATTTGTAGTGTTTCAAGGCAACTTATGAGTGGTGCTTTATGAATATACATGATTCTTTAGCGATTTCCAATCTGGTGGTTCAGAACATAAGATTCTGGAATACACACTTGGCACTGTCTTCTAATCAAGGGGGCTGCCAATCGGGAACATAAATAAAGCTGATTGTAGCAGAGGTTTGCTCATACCGAGAGAAGATTTCTACCAAAGGCGTGTTACTGAAGCACGCCTCATTCTTATTCCGGTTCTTTTCAGTCTCTCGTTTGTGGTTTGGTCTTCGTGCGGGTCAACCATTAAAATGGCCAGTCGAGTGTTTCAGAGCTACCAGTCGTTAGATGTTTTTATGTTGCAGTCCAATGATCCTCGCGCAGAGAATTGGTTTCCAGATCAACAGGACTGAGCTTACGGTTCACGATTGAAATTCGAACTCGCAACAGTTTTGTATATCTTGACATTAGCTTAAAGCTGTAGGTTGCTTCGCCCATGCACCTCCCGGGGCAGTTCATCTCTTGCGGCTCGGGCATACGTAGCCTGTCTTGGCAGTGATTCCATGACTAACGGCTAAGCGTGAGTTGCAATCAGAATCATTGCACTCCATAGTCAGAGACTGCCGCTGCGGGTCGTGGTTAGTCCCTTACTGCTACCGATAATTAACCGTGATTACAGAAAGTTTCTGTCTATGCCTCTTGAATTTGTTTGTTTTCTGCTGACCATGCCAACACAATAGTTTGCTAACTCTCTCCTATGTTTTTGTTCGCAGGCGTTCCTTCTATGGCCGAGAGCGCAGAAGAGCGACAGAGCGAACTGGAAGCCCTGAGTTCCATCTACGAGCATAACTTACACCTCATAAGAGACAATGGACTGCAAAAATTCGAGGTTCATCTCACTGGTCATGGTGGTGGTTCCGATGTTAGCACCGAATGTACTATCACTTTCGAATACACAGAAGAATATCCGTCACAGGCACCA